TTCATGCAGTAGTGTTTTATAATTTTCTTTGTATAGGTCTTTTACATCCCTGGTCAGATTTATTCCTAAGTATTTTATCTTTTTAGGGGCTATCCATGGGGTTTTCAATGACTGATTTTTGGAAGTAGATCACCAGGCCTTTCTTCTGAGGTACCTCTGGGAGGAATTCAACCTTTTGGTTAGCAGCCAAGTGTGTTAACTATTTGCCCACCCTGGGATATCAAGTGCATCTCATTGTCCTTTCATTTAAATGATTTTTTCATAAAAGAAGGACATTTCTTCTTGCATATATTTCCCTGATAGAGGGGGCTGATAATTTTGCTCCTTCCATGAATTTGTTTTCTTAAAATATCCTTGCCATTCTAACATTCTTTAGCTCAGTGTCTCTGAAGTGGTTGTGTACAGAAGCAGGTGAATCGCACAGAAAACAATGAGGAAAGAGTTCTGAGAAATACAGTGGTTGGGTTTGCTACAACCTAGGAGTATTGCTGAAGGTACTGGGGTATTAGGTCCTCAAGTATGAACACTTGTGAATTTGCATGCTTCACTTGTGAATTTCTTGAATTTCAAATACAGACACAGTGCTGGGTGACTGTCATTTCCTTTTAACAACCTTCTTTTTCCAAAAGCTGTTTCAGGTACATGGAGCCACAGAATCTAACAGGCATCTCAGAATTCTTCTTATTGGGCCTGTTTGAGGATCTGGAACTGCAGCCCTTCCTCTTTGGGCTGTTCCTGTCCATGTATCTGATTACTGTGGCTGGGAACCTACTCATTATCCTGGCTGTCACCTTTGACTCCCACCTCCACTCCCCCATGTACTTCTTCCTCTCCAACCTGTCCTTGGCTGATATTGGTTTCATTTCCACGACAGTCCCAAAGGTGCTAGTGAACATCCAGACACAGAGCAAATCCATCACCTATGCGTACTGCCTGACACAAGTGTCCTTTTTGTATCTCTTTGGATGTCTGGACAGTCTGCTCCTCACTGTGATGGCTTATGACCGGTTTGTGGCCATCTGTCACCCCTTGCACTACACAGTAATCATGAACCCCCACTTCTGTGGTTTGCTAGTTTTGCTGTCTTTTTTCATCAGCCTTTTGGATTCCCAGCTGCACCTTTTAATGGTGTCACAACTTACCTTCTGCACAAATGTAGAAATCCCTCATTTCTTCTGTGACCCTCCTCAACTCTTTCACCTTGCCTGTTCTGACACTCCCACAAATACCATATTACTGTATTGTATTGGTGCCATCTTTGGTGGTGTTCCAGTCTCAGGGATTCTTTTCTCTTACACTCGAATTGTTTCCTCTATTTTGAGAGTCTCATCTTCAGGTGGGAAATATAAAGCCTTTTCCACCTGTGGCTCTCACCTTTTAGTCATTTGTTTATTTTATGGAACGGGCCTTGGAGTTTACCTCAGTTCAACTGTCTCGTCTTCTGCAAGGAACGGTGCAGTGGCCTCAGTTATGTATACCTTGGTCACACCCATGTTGAATCCCTTCATCTACAGCCTGAGGAACAGAGACATCAAGAGAGCCCTGCAGAGGAGCCTCAGCAGAACAACCTAATTTCAATACTTGTGTGTGTCAATACTTTGGGTGTGTCTGTTGGAAAATACAGCAAAACCAAACATCTGCAACCAGAAATCTTGCTTCTTTGGTTATGTAATTTTTCAGCTCTCATATGTTTCAATCTTGAGATTTCATACCTGAAGATTACTTCCTTTGTCACATTTTTAATGGGATAGTGGGAGTATTCTGGGATATGTCAGTCTGCATGGTTAAATCCCATTATACCTATGGATCCTTCTGTAGCTTCTCATGTATGACCCAGGCTTTCTGGTAAAATGCACAAATCTATTTTTATGTAACTGGAATCTTCATCTTTTACCATATTTTCTATCTATTACCCAGACTACTTTTGCATCTAACCGAACTGTATATGCAGGTTATGTGTGAGAATGCATGTCACTGGTCCCAGACCTTGACTTCATATTGGAATCATCTAGGAGGCTTAAAAAATGTTGATGCTGGAGACTTCTGGGCAACATGGCTCTATAGACAGAAGCACCACCCCATCCCTCCACAGCCAAGATCTGAAAAACTAAGTCAAACAGAGTCAAACATCAATCCTGAAACCGTAAGCAACAAATGAAGAGATAAAGAACTCAGCCAAACACTGAATGGAACAAGAAACTGACTGAGAAGAGAGAGCAAGGAGAGATACATGCAGAGTGCCCTATCAGCTAATGCAGTATGGATCCACCATCTTGGACTCCTATCGGAGATCAGTGAATAGGGGGTATGAGAAAGGAGCTTCACGGAGCTTCCAGCAGGAGATAGAACAACCAGTAACCAGCTTTCCCATCCTCCACCCTTCTTTACCCCCACTTGGCCTCCTCTGCTTTCTGCTGCCACAGTCTCTTGGGTGGGATGCACTGGCTTCACCACAGTGTCACTTGGATTCCACCTGTCTGCACTGGCCGGCTCCCTAACTGTCATTTTTTGGCTTCTGGTATTGCTTTTTTCTGCTTCATTAGATTTCTTCCATACCTCTCACCACCTCCTTCTCCTTTCTTACAAATACCTGGCTCTGTGCACCATCTTTGCTTCTTCCTGAAAGGCTGCAAAACACTGCTCAACCCCGAAACCACTTCCCGGCCCGTGTGCCATGCCGGGGGGACCCCTGGGGCTATTTTTGGTTTGTTTGTTCTGATTTGTTCTGTTTGGATTTATTTGTTTCTTTTCTTGGCTTGGGAGCCCCTTCTAGCCAGGCAGTACAGCATGACTTGGGAGCTACTCCTGTACTCTTCACAGACATAGAGTTACACCTCTGGGGATATTTCTTTTTTCTTGTTTTTGTTTTTTTGTTTTTCTTTGTTTTGCTTTCTTCTCTCTTTTTTTCTCTTTTTGTCTTTCTTCATTTCCAGTTTCTTGTCTCTCTATACTTACCTTCTCTTCCTGTCTCCTGAATACCTGATTCTGGGTGACACCTCTACCCCTTCTAGCCAGGCTGTACTTCACAGCCTGGGAGTAACTTCCTCAGTCTTAGAAGCTGCAGTGGTGGAATCCCTGGGGGCTTTTCTTTCTTTTTTTCCCCTGTAATTTTTATTTAATCATTTTTTTCTTTTACCCTTTTTCTTTTTTCATTTTTGTTTTTCTCCGTTTCTCAGTCTCTCATCCCTCCACTCCAATAGCAAGCTCCCTTAGAACTCTTTTTTGTTTGTGTGTATGTTTTTGGCTCCTGTTCCTCTCTCCTCTCTCTCCTCTTTCCCATACCCATCTTAGCTCCAAACATCACAATCTACCCCCTCCTTCCTGCCTACCTGCACTGTGCACTGAACATCACACTCCCAAGCAGCACAGGCATGGCCTACCAGAACTTGCCCTGCACTGATTCCAGGTCCACCCTGTTGGACCTGGTACGTGCAACAAACAACCCATCCCAGTAACTCCTCTTCAGCTGGAGCTACCCTGCTGTACCATACCTTAGTGACTGACACTGCCCATTGGAGAAGAGGTGAAAAGTATCATGTCCACAGAGGAGCAAACAACAAAAAATGCACAGCCCGCCTACTCAGACATAACCAAATAAAACAAAAAAGCAGGCTGAAACAAACAAATCTACAATCAATAAAGGAGGAAAATAACTACTGAATGCCCCAAAGACAGCAGACAATATAAAAAAATATACAAAAACAGGACAGGATAGTTCCAGCAGGCATCCAAAATAAAACACCAGATGACTTTCCAGTAGAAGAAAAGGCACTAGAACAACCTGATAGGGAATTCAAATCTCTAATATTCAGAATTATCCAAGCATTGAAACAAAAAAGCAGATAAAAATGAGGAAAAAATAGACAAATTCATGGAAAAGGCAGACAAATTCATGGAAAATACAGACAAAAAAATGGAAGAATTCAAGAAAATAATACAGGAACAAAATGCTATAAAGTTCATAGAAGAAAAAATAGGATCAGTGCCAGAGGCCCTAATACACGGCATTAACAGGATACAACCATAACCAACAACACACGAACTCCAGAAGATAAGCTAGATAACTGGGATCTTCTAAAAATCAAACACCTATGCTCTTCAAAAGACTTCACCAAAAGAGTAAAAAGAGAACCTACTGACTGGGAAAAAATGTTTGGACATTACAAGTCAGACAAAGGTCTAATCTCTAAAATCTACAAGAAAATCCAACACCTCTACAACAAAAAGACAAATAATCCAATTAAAAAATGGGCAAAGGAAATGAACAGACACTTCACCAAAGACATTCAAGCAATCAACAGACACATGAGGAAATGCTCCCGATCACTAGCCATTAGAGAAATGCAAATTAAAACCACAATGAGATACCATCTCACCCCGGCATTACTAGCAAGAATCAAAAACACTGGAAATAACAAATGTTAGAGAGGCTAAGTGGAGATCAGAACACTTATCACTGCTGGTGGGAATGTAAAATGACACAAACAATTTGGAAAATGATATGGCGCTTCCTTAGAAAGCTAGAAATAGAAATACCATACTATCCAGCAATCCCACTCCTAGGAATATATCCTAAAGAAATAAGAGCCATCATACGAATAGACATATGAATACCCATATTCAATGCAGCACTGTTCACAATAGCAAAAAGCTGGAAATTATCTAGATGCCCATCAACAGAGGAATGGATAAACAAACTGGTACATACACTCAATGGAGTATTATGCAGCGATAAAGAACAGTGATGAATCTGTGAAGCATCTGATAACATGGACCAAACTGGAGGACATTATGCACATTATGCTGTGTGAAATAAGTCCATCACAGAAGGACAAATATTGTATGAGACAACTACTGTAAAAACTCATGTAAAAGTTTACACACAAAAAGAAGCAATCTTTGTTGGTTACAAGGGATGGGATGGGTGGGGGAAACTAAATAGACAATAGATAAGTGGTAACCTTGGTGAAGGGTAAGACAGTACACAATACTGGGGAAGTGAGCACAACTTGTACAAGGGAAGGTCATGGAAGCTCCATAGACACATCCAAACTTCCTGAGGGACTGAATTGCTGGGTGGAGGGCTGTGGGGACCATGGTCTCGGTGAACAACCAGGTCAATTGGCATAACACAGTTTATTAAGACAATGTTCTACATTCTACCTTGGTGAGAAGCATCTGGGATCTTAAAGGCCTGTGAGCAGCCATCTAAGATATTCCACTGGTCTCCCCACTTTGGGAGCAAGGGAGAATGAAGAGAACAGGATACAAGGAAAAGATTAGTCCAAAGGACTAATGGACCCCAACTACCACGGCCTCCACCAGAGTGAGTCCAGTACAGCTAGATGGTGCCTGGCTATCACCACTGACTGCTCTGACGAGGATCACAACAGAGGGTCCTGGACAGAGCTGGAGAAGGATGTAGAACAAAATTCTAACTCACAAAAAGAGACCAGATTTACTGGCCTAACAGACTGCAGAAACCCTGAGAGTATGTCCCTGGGACACCCTTTTAGCTCAGTGGTGAAGTCACTCCCGAGTCACCGTTCAGCCGGGGATTGAATGGCCCCATAAGACAAAACGGGACTAATGAGACACAGCAGTCCAGGGACAAGGACTAGAAGGCAGGAGGGGACAGGAAAGCTGGTGATAGGGAACTCAGGTTTGAGAAGGGACAGTATTGACATGTCGTGGGGTGGTTAACCATTGTCATAGGACAATATGTGTACTAACTGTTAAATGAGTAAATTTGTTTTGCAAACCTTCATCTAAGGTCCAAAAAAAAGAATTATCTATTTGAGATCAAATTGACAACAGCAACTGAAAAGGTTTGATGGGAAGCCTAGGGGGCAGTGAGTTGAAGATAATGGTGATGGAATAATTTGGAATAGGATAGTGAGAATAGCAGCACAACTGGAAGAATGTAATCAATGTCACTGAATTGTACATGTAGAAACTTTTGAAATGGTGTATCTTTGGCTATGTATATTTTCACCAAAAAAAAAAAAAAAAAAAAAGGGTCCTCCAAGGTAGAGAAGTGAGAGCATTGACATGTCATGGGGTTGTTAACCAATGTCATAAAACCATATGTGCACTGATTGTTTAATGAGAAACTATTTGTTCTGTAAACCTTCATTGAAAGTACAATAAAAAAAAGAATTTTTTTAAATTGATGTCTTGGTCCCACCACTATAGATTCAGATTTAATTGGACCAGTATGTGGCTTGAGCATAAAATTTTTAAAGCATGACAGGTGGTTTTAATGTGCAGCCAAGCTGAGAACTACTCATCTTTTTAGACTTTTCCTTCAAAAATTATTTTGTTGTGGGTCTTTTACTCCTTCTGAGTAGATGCTGAAGACCTGAAAGTGATCAGAGCTTGCAAGGGGAAAGATATGAAAGAACTTACCCTAACAACAGGCAAGTGATCTTTCCCAATATTATAGATGATATTTCTTCTCGTATCTTCTCCCTCTACATCGTGTTGCTGTTAGCAGCTCTTGAGTTTCCTCCCTGACACATGGTGACCCCGTGCACAACAGAAGAAAATGTTGTCCAGTCCTGTACCATCTC